TAAAGTTTTTTTTTTTTTTTTTTTTTTTTTTTCGAAACATTTTTTATAATTTTTTACATTTTATATTGTATTTACACCAACTTCTTTTTGTTTTTAATAAAAATATATCAAAGTAATTAAGTTAAAACAAAAAAGAAATCCATATAAAAAATTCCCTCTCCTTATTTTTATAGAGTCTTTTAATAAAAAAAAAAATATATTTTGTTCATTCTTTATTTTTTTTAAACTTGAAAAAAGTGAAGAAGAAAATTATTTAAAAAAAAAAAAATTTGTACATATTTGTAATTTTTTTTATTTGTGTCTTTTATAAGATATTCTTATGTTTTATATGAAATTTAAAACTCACAATTACAAGATGATATATAAATTAATAAACATAATATTTTAACAACACCAAAATTTGAACATTATATTTTTATCTAGGAGAGTAAATTCCATTTCCTTTATAAAAAAAAAAAAAAGGAAATGATGATGAAAAAATTTAATTAATCTCCTAAAAGATTTTTAATATGTTTTTTATAAATTTAAATATACTGAAAAATTTTATGAATTAATCTTTAAAACCATTTAATTTATAATAAAACAATAAAAAATAGATGGATTATTAAAAAAAAAAAAAGATTATCAAACTGAAGAAAAAAATAATAAATTATAAGATTTTTAAACAATTATATATACTCAATAAAATTTTTTAAATGGAAAATTAAATATATGGTTGTATAATTGATTTAGATTGTTTCTAAATTGGACACTTTAAGCTATTAAACAAAATGGGATATTTATGAAAATTATTTAAAATTTTTCCTTTTTTAAGCCAAAAATAGATTATAAAAATAATAAAAATATAAAAAAAAAAAAAAAAAAAAAGAAAAAAAAAAAAAAAAAAAATGGATAGTAAATTTTTTAAAGTGACTCCAAAAAAATTAAATCAACCCAATAAATTATTTTAAAGCACATATGCACTTAAATATTTTAAATCATTTAAAACTTTTTTTTATTTTTGATAAACATGCAAAAAAAAAAGATTATTAAAATAAAATTTTTTTATACATAGGACTAATTTAATTTTTTAAACAGAATTTTTTGATAATTTTATGAGTTTTTTGGTTCAATATAAAGACCATTACTGTAGCTATTAGTTTTTAATTAATCATAAAATTTTAATAAATAAAATTCCTATTTGTTGTGTGCGAAATAATTAAAATATAAGAATATGTAAAATGTGAGATATTTAAAGTTATACATATATTTAATCATCAAAATTTATTTTTTTATATGATAAAATAGTTGTATATGGAAAATAAAGAATAGTATATATTTAAACGTATGCATATATGTAAATATTAATTTTATGTTTAAAAAAAAAATTAAAATTTTTTTTATTATATAGACGTGCTTTAAAGAATAAATTTTAAGATTATATTTTTTTTTTTATCATATTTTGGTTTTATTCATTATATGTATTATTTGCTAGTTCCTTTGTTTATAATTCTTTATATTTTTAAAAATGAGTCAAATTAATAATGTAAATAGAGCAATATCACTTACAGAATCAGTAAGAGAACATTTAAATCAATTAAACGAACTTGTAACTTCAGAGTTTGGATATTTTTGTGAAAATAATAATGTTGAATATTCTATTGATAAAATGGATAGCTTTTCTAAAACTCCGCTGATGCCTTTTTTTTCCTCATGGAGGATGGATGATCTGTATAATTTTGATTTAGGTAGTATCCTGTCTATATTAAAGAGAAACAATTTTTTTATGTCATGTTTTCTTTTTCTATGCATTTTTTCATGTATTTATTTTATAAGTTTTATTCTTTATTCTAATTGTACAAGGAGAATAATTAAATTATTTACTAGCTGTTGCACTAGAATTACAAAAAAAAAAAAAGAAGACGAATATGATAATGATAAAAGTGAAAATTCTAAAAATGTACTAAAAATATTTAAAAATATTTTAATATATTTTTTTTTGTGTGTTTTGCTATGTGCTCTTATTGCTATGGGTTCCTTTTGTCTACATTATTTTTTTAAAACAAAAAAGGATATACATATGAACATTTGTAATGTTTCTAGAACATTTGAAAACTTAATAAAAGATAAATGTTCTAATAGAACAAATGATAATATGTCTTGTTTTTCTGTTGAAAATGTAATAAATGATACTATACTAATTTTACAGAAATATAAAGATATAAAAAAACAAATAGAAGATAATTCTCTTGTAGATGTAAATAAACCAATTCCTGCCCTTATAAGTATTAATAAAAATATACATATATATATATATATATATATACTTCACATATTTAATATATATATATATATATATATATATATATTTTTTTTTTTTTATATAATTTTCAGAGTTTAAAAATTCTTTTAACAATTTAAAAAAATTGAAAAATAATTTGTCTGTTAATAATAATATGCTTGAAAGAAGATATCTTCATGTGTATCCAGGTTTAATAAGTCTAGAAAAATCTCTTGAATCTATTATAAATGAAGGAAATAATAATTTAAAAAAAACAGAAGGTACAACTGTGCAGATAAAAAGAAAAATAAAAACAACTTTTGATAGAATAGATTATTATATAGAACAAAACTTTAGGACGCATTTTAGTTATATAACTAACATAATTCAATCAACTAGTTATATAATAAGTGATTTTAACGATAAGTATAGTTCTAAAGAAAATATAAATAAATATAGTAATATAGTTCCTTTTATTTATATTATTTTATTAATACCACCATTAATTATTCTTATAGGGTTAATTTTATATATAGTATGTATATTAAAAGGAGATTATACAGGAAATCATAATTCTTTTTATAAATTATTTGGTTTATTTAGTGCCTATTTTGGTTTTTTAACTATTATAACATTAATAATTACCACTTTCTTTTTGACAATTTCGATTTTAGGTGGAACAACTTGTGTTATTACAGAAGATTTACTACAAAAAAGGATAAACTTTAATTTTAAAAATATTACGATAGTTGATAAATGTATTAAAAATGAAAATGCAGCTATAATTGATGAAAGCCATGTAAATTTATTAATTAGAAAATTTAATACGTTTAATATAAATGATACTGAAGAAAAATTAAAAGAACATGAGAATTTTTTTAATGATATAAAAAAAAAATTTTATGAAAATGCAAATAAAATTTTTGATTATATGTGGATAATTATAATGAAAAAAGATGGTAATAGATATTACAATAAAATAAAAAGTAATGAAATTAAGTCTCCTTTAATAGCAATAGGAATTGTGAAAGAAAATTTTAATTTTGGTGGAAGAGATTTTATTGGTATAGATGAATATTTAAGAATCTTAAATCAACGTATTTTTCCTAATAACAATAATAATAAGTTATGTTTTGAAGATAATACATGTGAAAACGACCAGAACAAATATAATATTACTGCAAAATCTAGTATAAATGATCAAAAATATATTCAATTTCGTGATAAAATAAATGTGCTTATTAAAGAAGATATAGATGAACTTGTTCAGTTGTTTATTCTTAAAGCTAAAATTAGAAATGAAAAAATTTTTGATGTAAGTGATTTAGATAGTACTATAACAGAAAAGTTGAATTGGAAAAATTATACACCAAAAACTACTGAAACAACTAGAAATAAATCTATTATATATAATTATATAACAAGTATAATTGAAAGTATAAATTTTACTGAAATTAAAAACTTTTGTAATAAAATTAAAATTCAATATAGCTCAATGACAGAATTAATTGTTCAGACAATTCGATCAATATCAAGAAATTCTCGATGTAATAAAATCATAAAGGAAATAAATAAAATGAAGTATTTTTTTTGTAATAAATTTATTATAAATTTAACTACCTTATCTATTTTTTCATTTTCATTTTCAGTTGTTTCTTTCTTCCTCTGGTTCGTTTTTCTTTTCTTGTGGTTACGCCACAAGTTAAGTGTTATGTAATTAAGATATATAGAAATTATTTTTAATTAAAATAAGATAGTTATTTATTTTGTTATTTTTTTTTTTTTTTTTTTTTTTGCTATATACAAAAAAAAAAAAAAAAAAAAAAATATCAAAGGAGTTAAAAATAATTAGATAAAAATTCTTATTATTAATATTTATTACCCCTAAAAATTTAGGATTATGAATATAATGAAATATATATTTATTATTATTACTTTAGTAAAAACTATTATGAATATGGATTTATTTAAATTATTTTATATTTTATTAATTAACTAAAATAAATAAGTATTTAATATTGTTAAAATTGTTAATATATATATTTTCTAAATGTTAAATATAAATTAATAATTTCTTGTTTCTTCATTTTTTTTTTTTTTTTTTCAAAACTTTTTGTGAGTCTATTGTTAATTTAACATATTTGTTGTTAATTGCTTTTGTTTATTTTATTATTTATATCCTTTATTATCTTTTCCTCTATAAAATGATATTTCTTTTCTTTTTTTTTTCTATTTTTTTTTTACATAAAATAACACATAAAAAGAATATATCCTTGTTACTCATAAAACTTTTAATATGTCTTACTTTTTTTTTAATAAAAAAATCATTGATATATTTTTTTTTTTTTGCTTTATATTTTATTCTTAGTAACTTTCTTAATTTAATTTTTGATTTAGAAAGGATAAAATGTAACAGATATATATATACATATATATATATATAAAGCACAATAGAAAAATTATTAAGAGATTAATAAATTTAAAAAAAAAATGTATAAATATGAAAATAAATAATAGAACAAATTATAAATAATTAAATAAAATAAAGAATATGAATATCATTATTAAATATATGAGAATTTTTCTTAAAGCAACCAAACAATAAGAAAAAAAAAAAAGTTTTAAAGTATATTTTTCATAAAAATTTAAATGTATTTATAAAAAATACACTTTCTTAACAATGTTTATATATATTTAAAATAAATTGTACAAATAAAAAAATAATTTTTTCAAAAAATTTTTCTTTGCTTTCCAAATAGTATTTATTTTTTCAGTAAATACAAATTTAAATAATTTTTTAATATAACAGTTATTTCTTTTATCTAATTTTTCATTATATTTTTCATCTTGAATTTCTCTCTTTTTATTATCATTTTTTTCACAATTTTCCAAATCATTATGTTTTAACAATTTCATTTTGTCTTCATGGTTGATATCTTTTTTTTTAATTGTTTCTTTTTGTGAATAACTATATAAATTATAAATGAGAGATGGGAATAAATTACTAAATAGGTTATTCTGAATAAATTTAGGTAGGCTAGCATTGTAATATAAAGAAATAACATAATCTAAGCCTTTTTGAAAAATGTCTTTTTTTTTGGGATATATACAAAAAAAATTTTCATAATTATTGATTCTTGAAAAATTCTCATTTTTATTAAAAAGGTCATTAATAGATTTATTTACAATTATAAACATATTTTCACTTTCATCATAATTCTGGAAAACTTCGTATATAACATCATGACTTTTAAATGGCCATGGAAGGCTATTTACTAAATAAAGAATATTTTTTTTCTCATTTTCAATATCCTTTTCATCGTTTACTATATATTTATTTACATCTAACATTTCTCTACTACTTTTTTTTTTTAATAGTGTAGATTTACTTATGTTTAAATAATTTAATCTTTTTATATTTGTATTCCACTTTTTAATACTTTTAATATCATTTAATGAATAATTTAAAACGTATGCTGATACATCTTTCATCTCACCATAACCAAGTAAATCATATTTTTTATCTTTACCTTCTAAAAGATTTTTATATAAAGTTAAGATATTAGAATTATGAACTTTAGAACTATTTTTTAAATCAAAAGTCTTTTTATAAATCTGGTTACAAATATCTTTAAAATTATTTATCATTTCTTTATTTATCATTTCATTAAACCTATGGAGATTATTTTCATTGCTACTATCATTGTTACTATTAATTTCTTTTTTAAAAGAAGTATTATATTCTTTATTTTTTAATTGAGATGATTCTATTATTTTATCATTCTTAAATATATTATCATAACTTATACTTTTGTAAGTATTGTTTTTTTCGAAATTATTGAATTCCTTCTTTGAATCTTCATTAATAGGAATATATGCATATGGATTTTTTTTGTTCTCTTTCCTAATTCTAAAAAAAAATTTTTCTTTTAAATGTATATTGTTAAAATTTTCCTTGTTTGCTTCATCTAATTTTTTCCAGTTTTTAGAAAATTCAAGCTTATCTAACATATAACTAGAAATATTTTTTAAAAATAACTTATTAAAAATGGCATTTTGATTTACCATAAATGGTTTAAAAGATAATTTATTTTTTGAAAGTTCTGAAGAGCTTGAATCTAAGAATTTTATAAATTCTTTTTTTTTTTCATAACAGAAACATTCATTAAATAAAAAGAAAAATATTAGTAGAAGGAAAATTTTTTTTTTTAAAATCATTTTTACAATTTGTATATACTTAGATATATGTTTTTTTATTTTCTTTATTTTCTCATATTTTGAATAGATGTAAAATAAATTGTGTATCTTACATTTTTTAAAATATAAGGATAATTATATATTTTTCTACATAAAAACAAAATTTTTATTATTTTTTTCTTTTTTTTTTTTTTTTTTTTTTTTTTTTTTA